ATAGTGTTGTTAGGTTAACCCTAGTACATGTAGAATGATAGTGTTATTAGGCTAATCCTAGTACATGTAGTATGATAGTGTTGATCTCTTCTAGTATAGGCTAACCCTAGTACATGTAGAATGACAGTGTTGATCTCTTCTAGTATAGGCTTATCCTAGTACATGTAGAATGATAGTGTTGTTAGGTTAACCCTAGTACTTGTAGTATGATAGTGTTGTTAGGTTAACCCTAGTACATGTAGAATGATAGTGTTGTTAGGATAATCCTAGTACATGTAGAATGATTGTGTTGTTAGGCTAATTCTAGTACATGTAGTATGATAGTGTTGTTAGGCTAACCTTAGTAAATGTAGAATGATAGTGTTGGTCTCTTCTAGTATAGGCTAACACTAGAACATGTAGAATGATAGTGTTGCTCTCTTCTAGTATAGGCTAAGCCTAGTACATGTAGAATGAGAGTGTTGTTAGGATAATCCTAGTACATTTAGAATGATTGTGTTGTTAGTAGTACATGTAGAATGAAAGTGTTGTTAGGTTAACCATAGTACATGTAGAATGAAAGTGTTGTTAGGTTAACCATAGTACATGTAGAATGATAGTTTTGATCTCTTCTAGTATAGGCTAACCCTAGTACATGTAGAATGATAGTGTTGATCTCTTCATGCCCAGCGAGCAGTTCTTTGGTTATATGGTGGTGATCCCAACTCTTCGTAATGACCTTAGTATTTACATGTATGCAACTTCCCTACCCTAGGATTGTTCTAGTGAAATTTGATGAAATTCCATGATGCAATTCAGAAGAAGTTATTTGCAGAAATTGTTCATATGGACGACAGATGTACAGGCAATAGCACTGCAGTATTATAAATGTTAAGCTAATACAGCATGATCTGATAAAACTAAGATTTGTTTAAATGACCTACTGAGGAAGCTGGTCAACGGCTATAGACACTGTCCAGTTCCTCTACACTGTACGCATATGGAATACTTACCCTAGAGCTGTCTCAGCCAGCTGAGCAATATTCTCTGCATATGTAGCTCTCACCATGGTCGCAGTGTCTTGGGTCAGATGTGTCTACAAAAGAAATACCTAACTTTAAAGAAAAGGGTATAAAAATCATGTTCTTATATTTCTTGTTTTCCTATCTTCTAGTACAGTTGGTTCATGCAAAATAATTAAAATTTGAAATATCTAAAGCACAAATTTAATTTTTCTTCTTCTGTATCTCATTTTTACAATTTATTGATTTTCTGATGAAGAATTGAATTTGAGAAAGAAAATAATTGGAAAATATAGTTTAAATTTCTAAGGGAAAATATCATGATTTCGTAGTGAAATCGTATACAAAAACTACCTGCAGATCAATGATTAAATAGAGACTTACCAAATTAGGAAATATATACTCTGGGAAAACATTAGCGTCACTAAAACAGAAAAGAATATCAAATAAATGACTTTCCTTAAATAATTATATTGAAATGGTGATATATATATATCTTAGAAGGTCCTGATAAAGCCCAATGTTTGGGCAAAGCTGGTAGACCACACTAATAAACAAAAGATAACCAGTCCCTAGTTTGTTGTGATTGACGTGCCCTTTTAGAAAGCACTGATGTACATCTTGAACAAAATCAAAGAACAGGGGCACAAACCCATACCTTATCAGAGACATATATAGGGAGCATCGGACTAGTAGTAATATTTTAGAAAGTCTCAAGTAACATTAGTGGAGAATTTCAAAATAAAAACGTGAGCAAGGAACCACAAAGATCATCACATGATCAGGATATGGTTGAGAAAAGTGGTAAAGAGTGACCTTTGACCTTTTAACCTTGACTCATGACAAAAACAATTAAACTGTTGCAGAACTGGATCCAGTATTATCATACTTTGGTGATAACATTTGCACTTACTGCTTTTTAACACAATATACTGCATTTCCTGAACATAAATTTTAAGAGTAACAGAGGTCATTTTTTTTATAATGCACTTGCTAGGAGTCTAACCCAGAACCTCTGGCTTACTAGTCTTGCATTTTACCGACTGAATAAAGAGAAATTCTCCCTAGCCGAGTCGGTAGGAGCAGCTAGTATTTTACCAGGGTGACATACTCCCCCTCCAGGAAACAACTTGGCCATAGTTTTCTAGGGGTCATAGCGATTCCATTGCAAGTATCATCGAGTATTTTGTAACATCTCCCGGGTTCTTATGTGGGTGCCAATGTAACATATTCTATCAACCAGTGATCGTGGTACTGTAACAATCACAGATCGTCTATCAATAAACTTAAATATTACATTTTCTAAATCTGAGAGAACTTGTTCCAAAACATTTGCCAATTTGAATAAAACTGCAAAAAATAAAAATATAGACATCTGAAAATATTACCTTTAAAGTATACTATAGAGAGGTAACTTTTTATGGTGTTGAAATAATGTCTTTTTATGTTTTCAAAATGATCACTAAAAATGTACATCTAATTATATACTGAGATGCATGACACAAAAAATGTTTTCCCTCAGGAATAGTGTGAAGTGTAGGAATAATGCTAAGAGTCTGAAATGCAAAAAAAAGAGTGTCAGTAGAAAATGAGTCAATTTCATCCTGGTAAATTGTGTGGTAATAGTTTAACTGACCAAGGCTTGACAACTTGGTTGTCAGAGATACATGGAGGATGAAGTTTACCTTCGAGGGACAGACTTGATTCCAACCAGACACTGTGTAATAGCTCGGATGGTCTCCGCTCTCACGCGGGCCGACCGGTCATTAGTAAAAAATAACTGTCAACAACAATAAACATGTAAATGTGAAGTGATTTGGTACCCTGGCTTTGTATAGCTACAGTGGACTGATGATCTAACTGATGAAGCTGACATAGCTGTGTATGATGAACATTATTTATTGCTTTTTCGATCTTAATTGTTTTTTTCGATCTTAATTGTTTTTTTCGATCTTAATTGTTTTTTTACATTTCTCACTTGCTGAATCTATGACACTAAAAAGAACAAAACTATGGCATCATGAGTTTGCATTGTGGTGGTATCATTACTTTCATGGTTCTGACTAAAAGTGAGCAGTAATATTATTTCTTGAAGTGGGTGTTAATGAGTTTCAAACTGGTTCCTAAACCACGTGAAACTTGAAGTAGCATATAAAATTGTGATCTTTTGAGACCCTCTCCTTATTTTCAGGATATTTTTATATTTTACATATATGATTTTATCATGATCAAAAGAGAAACACATTACTGACCATATATGGAATGATTCTATCAAGAGTGACGTCTGGGGTGAGAAACTTGGAAAACTTCAGCAATAACTCTAGAGCAATCAGCTTGGAACTGCAAAACTGAAACCAAACGATGTGGTTAAGATGAAATCAATTTATTAACCAAACCTATAATATATATCATACCTGAAGATTAGATATACTTCAGGTACACATTACATCAATAACTCCCAGAGGAGGGTCAGATCAAGGATGATTATAACAACAGAATAACAATGGAAATTATCAAGCAAGATATAGTCTTTGATTAACATAAGTCTAAGCTACAGATACATTCTTACATAATTTATCATCAAGGAATAAATCTGATACATCTAAAACTTTATAAAGGAAGTGAGCAGGTGGGTTCTGATGGAGAACTTCTACAAATCTCTAAAACTTTATAAAGGAAGTGAGAAGGTGGGTCTGATGGAGAACTTCTACAAATCTCTAAAACTTTAAAAAGGAAGTGAGAAGGTGGGTCTGATGGAGAACTTCTACAAATCTCTAATACTTTCCAGAGTGGTGGGTGATTTTGCTAATTTAAAGATAACCAACTAATTCTCCGTTAACACCAAATCCTGCAAATTTTAGTTCTGAGCACTTGAACACTGGAACCAAACAGACATACATATGTGTAATTCTTTAGCACTGGAGGCTAACAGACATACAAACGTGTAATTCTTTAGCACTGGAGGCTAACAGACATACATACGTGTAATTCTTTAGCACTGGAGGCTAACAGACATACATACATGTAATTCTTTAGCACTGGAGGCTAACAGACAAACATACATGTAATTCTTTAGCACTGGAGGCTTACAGACAAATATACGTGTAATTCTTTAGCACTGCAGGCTAACAGACATACATATGTGTAATTATTTAGCACTGGAGGCTAATAGACAAAAATACATGTAATTCTTTAGCACTGGAGGCTAACAGACAAACATATGTGTAATTCTTTAGCACTGGAACCAAACAGACATACAAACGTGTGATTCTTTAGCACTGGAGGCTAACAGACATACATATGTGTAATTCTTTAGCACTGGAACCAAACAGACATATATACATATGTGTAATTCTTTAGCACTGGAGGCTAACAGACATACATACGTGTAATTCTTTAGCACTGGAACCAAACAGACATACATACGTGTAATTCTTTAGCACTGGAGGCTAACAGACATACATATGTGTAATTCTTTAGCACTGGAACCAAACAGACATATATTCATATGTGTAATTCTTTAGCACTGGAGGCTAACAGACAAACATACGTGTAATTCTTTAGCACTGGAGGCTAGCTAAGAGACATACATACGTGTAATTCTTTAGCACTGGAGGCTAGCAAACAGACATACATACGTGTAATTCTTTAGCACTGGAACCAAACAGACATACATACGTGTAATTCTTAGCACTGGAGGCTAACAGACATACATATGTGTAATTCTTTAGCACTGGAGGTTAACAGACATACATACGTGTAATTCTTTAGCACTGGCGGCTAACAGACATACATACATGTAATTCTTTAGCACTGGAGGCTAACAGACATCCATATGTGTAATTCTTTAGCACTGGAGGCTAACAGACATACATACGTGTAATTATTGAGCACTGGAGGCTAACAGACATACATATGTGTAATTCTTTAGGACTGGAGGCTAACAGACATACATACATGTAATTCTTTAGCACTGGAGGCTAAAAGACATACATACGTGTAATTCTTTAGCACTGGAGGCTAGCAAACAGACATACATACGTGTAATTCTTTAGCACTGGAACCAAACAGACACACATACGTGTAATTCTTTAGCACTGGAGGCTAACAGACATACAAATGTGTAATTCTTTAGCACTGGAGGCTAACAGACAAACATTCATGTAATTCTTTAGCACTGGAGGCTAACAGACATACGTACGTGTAATTCTTTAGCACTGGAGGCTAACAGATATACATATGTGTAATTCTTTAGCACTGGAACCAAACAGACATACATACGTGTAATTCTTTAGCACTGGCGGCTAACAGACATACATACATGTAATTCTTTAGCACTGGAGGCTAACAGACATACAAATGTGTAATTCTTTAGCACTGGAGGCTAACAGACATACATACATGTAATTCTTTAGCACTGGAGGCTAACAGACAAACATACGTGTAATTATTTAGCACTGGAGGCTAGCTAACAGACATACATACGTGTACTTCTTTAGCACTGGAGGCTAACAGACATACATACGTGTACTTCTTTAGCACTGGAGGCTAACAGACATACATACGCGTAATTCTTTAGCACTGGAGGCTAGCTAACAGACATACATACGTGTAATTCTTTAGCACTGGCGGCTAACAGACATACATACATGTAATTCTTTAGCACTGGAGGCTAACAGACATACAAATGTGTAATTCTTTAGCACTGGCGGCTAACAGACATACATACATGTAATTCTTTAGCACTGGAGGCTAAAAGACATACATACGTGTAATTCTTTAGCACTGGAGGCTAGCTAACAGACATACAAACGTGTAATTCTTTAGCACTGGAGGCTAACACACATACATACGTGTAATTTCCGAGCACTGGAGGCCAACAGACATATAATGAGGACAAGTCCGGTATTTTGGTCAGGATTGTTCTCATCCAAACCTAGGCTCTTCACAATTAGATCATAGTCTCTCTTCAATCTAGATAAAAGATAAAACACAACTTGCTTATTGTAGCAGCAGTTCTTTTATTTCCACAGAGTGTAATCCAAAAGGTGACAGGGTCTCATAATATATATCAAATACTCTCAGGTTTTTTCATTTAAAAGTTTCACAAGATATGTTCGATTTTAACATTACAATTTATGGAGGATTACTTGGTTTTAAAATGTTCAGTCAAAAAGTGTGAAACCTGTCAATCTGTTGTTGAACGAACCTGTTAATGCGGTCATCTGGAGGAAGTATAGGAACAGTGGCAAATCTCTGTACGTAGAGTTTAAGGAATGTGTAGAAGTATTCAGGAAATGCCTTGCCTCTCTGCTGGATAAGGTACTCCTCCGCAGACATACGGTGGGCGGGGTTCTTTTTTATCATGTGACGCACCATGTCCTGAGGAGATGATTATAGTTAATGTATCAAAATTATTAGGCTTTTAAAAGTTATGCTGTACATCAGATTTCTTCGTATATAGTACACACGTGTTGGGTGTGTAGGTAGAATCAAGAATAAACAGGCTTAATACCAGTACAGTTCAGTTTTTTGCAGGTCAAAATATCCCTACCTTGCAAAATTCTGTGTGGAACTTTTTCCTATCTAATTACAAAGCAAGTAATGTTTGAAAATAAAGCATAATAAATTGACATTTCTTTGGTAAAGCCATATTTTAAATTTAGTTTAAAGGTATAAATAATATTTGTAAGTTTATAATCTGATTCAGTAAGTAGATTTTTAATTCTACTACAATTTTTTTTATGTTAATGAAAACGTTTTGACCTCACATTTTAGGTAGAGGAACATTTGAAAGATACTGAAAAAACAACAACATTTTCAACAGCACAATCACACACATTTATCATTCATAGTGTTTTTCCTAAATTTAAATACATCATAAAGCAGCCTCTCACAAAAAGTCATACATAAATGGTAATCTATGGTGAGACAATCTCGTACAAAATGGAGCTTACCCTAATGCTAGTGTCTTCTATCTTCTCCAGGACTTTCCAGGGGCTGTACTCGCCATGTCTATAGGACAACAGCTGTGAGAGGTCGAATGGGGCTGTGCCTTCTGTGAACAGTTCTGTTATCACACACCTACAACACAAATCATTGTCAGTTTGTTTGTGTTTCAGTCCTATTAACATCTATGGTCATTTAAGGACGTGCCAGGTTTTGGTGGTGGAGGAAAGCCGGAGCAACCGGAGAAAATACCACTGACCTACAGCCAGTACCTGGCGACTGCTCAACGTAGGTGTCGAACCCGCAACCCAGTGTTAGAGGGCTAGTCACTTGGCCACTGCCGCCCCAATCAATGTCAGTAAATACATTTCAAAAAGACTCCCAGAGGTCAGGCCTCACTCCCAGAGGTCAGGCCTCACTCCCAGAGGTCAGGCCTCACTCCCAGAGGTCAGGCCTCACTCCAAGAGGTCAGGCCTCACTTCCAGAGGTCAGGCCTCACTCAAGATCTTGTTGAGGATAACTGGTCCCTAAAGAAATACACATAAGGGCTAGCTGGTATCAGGTTCAGCGTCCAACTTAGCAATTTTATAGTTATAGTGCCTCGTAAACATTTCTATAGATCCTTTTAAAATACTTGAATGACAGCTGGCATCAAATTCAGGGATTAATTAAAGATTTGTTTTTAACTAGTTCAGTTCATGACTCATAAAAAATCATCTTCCCTGGCTCCAAAAACATCAAAATTAAATTACTGATTGCTATATACCTACCCCGTTGAGAAAATGTCCATGGCAGGGGTAAGCTCACCAGCCTTGACCTCACTGGTAGAGGCAAGGTCAAGGTTACCGGTCTGACCTCCACTCTCAAGGTTCTTCAGACCTCCCTCAACAAACCTCTCTGGAGCAATGTAACATGTTCGTCGTCGTGACGTGTCAAAGAAGTACGAGAAGTCAGATGGGTTGTCCTAAAATACATATAGAGGAATACAATTTAACAGAAGGATATACATGTACATGTATATTAACTTACTGTACCAATCTCAAAATATTATGCTGATGGGTTGTAAGCTAACTACACATACATTCTTTTTGTGGTTTGGTCTATTTTCAGTTCCAAGGGTTCTCAGACTTTATCTTGCCTCGAAGAGTACAGTCAATCTTATATAGTAACAACCAAACAATCCATCACTTCATTATCGAATAAGCCACATAAATAGCATGACAGGTGCAGTATCAAATAATGTATGATCAGTTTTTGTTCAATGTTAAACTAAGCATAATAAATCAAAAACTTTCTCTAAGTTGGAAAGTATTGACTGTACACAATTTAACACAATACAAAAACTGGACAAGTTTCATCAAAATCCTGTCATGTTTAATTAAGTTATTGTGAGGAGACTGCCATCCAATAAAACGTGAAGCTTTCTACTAACTTATACATGATTTGTCTATACTTAGTCTTTGTATATTGTATATGCTTACCAAGTTTCATGAAAATTGAATGATATTTTAGTAGATTATGATATCTTGCATCAACTAAAGTGTGGATGGCAGACATTCCCCATAGCATTTTACATCCCATTAAAAAATTTCACTTGGGTATAATACTACAAAATTTATGTTTTTGATTTTTCTATATCTTTCATTAATAACAAACCCTTTCATATATTGACAAAATGACACTGATAGTTCACTGTACACTAATAAGATGAACTTCTCTCATCACAAACCTCGGGTAAGTATGTTGGTTTATAGCTGGCGAAGTCGGTGAGTAGTAACCAGTTCCAGCCCGTCACCATCACATTCTCCGCCTTGATGTCTCCGTGACACACCTGACAAAGGAAACATTCTTATTTATACCAAAAAATCACTTTATTTTCAAAACAGTGTTGATTATTTAAGACAACAAAATTATGCTATTGCATTGTTGTTACTTTTCAAAATGGTGAGAAATTCCCAGATGTATCTTTTCAGTAAAAGTTTGCCAGCTTGCTTTTTTTTCTTACAAAAAAGGAAAACATTTACCTACACTTATGAACAAGCTATACTTGCAGTTATTTTGCTAAGGACTGTCAGGAGATAATTTGTTATACAGTTTGGAAAAAAGAATAAGGGAATTAGATGTGCAAAAATACTTATTCATAAATCATGCATAACATGGAACTTCCCACCCCAAACACAGGGTTCAGAAACAATTACTGGCATCATTTGAAAACCATCTAATTATTGATGAATGTAATCTGTGATCGTGATGACAGGTCTACATTCACATCAAAGTGATGTCACATAAAGTATTATATAAGATAATCGCATATTAAAAATTGAATGTAGAGGTAAAACTACCCGAGTTCACAATAAACTATGCTAAACTAAGTTACAACTCTTTCTCAACAGAAGTTGCTCTGGTGCTGGAAGTCAAGTCTGGACCTGTCAGAACATTGTGGTTAAAACACTGTCCAACAATGTGGACAGGGAAGCCGGCAGTGACTTATCAGGTACCTCTACGTCTTACCTTCAATTTGTGGCACTGGTTCAGGGCACATAACAACTGGAAGGCCAGCCATTTCTTCTCCACACTGTTTAGGAACGGCCTGGTGCTGATGCGGTCATACAGACTGTCCTTGATGTACTGGCGAAACAACAGGGCTGCCTTGTCCGATTGCTGTAGAAAATAAAGTTACTGAAAGATTAATGTTAGATCAACAAAGCAACAGGGAAGCTCAATCAGAATTCTTTTTCCTATCAAATTTATCAATCTTTTGATAGGCTGTTTCTTTGTCTTTTCGATCAGAAAAAGAAAAGAAAAAAAATAATACTGGGAAATCATAACATTAATTAGAAATACAGTATTAGATTTTTCATGATGAAATTCATTTTTTACTTTTGCGATCCATACAAAATACTCTCTGATCTCTCAATTCAATATGCTCAAGGGCCAATGGTTTTATAAGTGGATATAGCCTGATAGAATACTGACCACATCCTTTTGGAAAGGTAAGCAGTTTGATGTTCCATGTAGCTGGAGACGGATATCTGAAAGGAAATCAATTCCACAACGTATTTGATTAATTTGGTTTCACACCTATACAATAGCTTAGTCAAAAGATGAGCTAACCAATTTTTTATTATAATAAGGGAATTCCTTCTCTGATAAGTAGTTTAAAATTTTATTTCATAGGCAGTAAAACCTCATGACACTGCCACTATTTGTTCAGCATGTATTGGGAGATTTTTGTGATGAGTCAAGGGAGACAATAAAAGAATTGATACAAAAAAGAAAAGGTGACCTTGAAATCAGTGGTAGGCGAGATGGCAAATGATCATGTAAAGATGGACATTTTATAGAAGATTTTTATGTTTAAATGGCATCTTATGTATATAGTCTAAATATGGGGGTTTTTCTGTCTCCTGAAAAGAATGTCAATTATGATCAATGCAGCATTCTCCCTTGAAAATTGTGAAATCAGATAATGCGCATATGCCAATCAATTGATGCAGCCTGCATACAAGATAAAAATGAAGGCAATATGTTTTGTTTTTTATTACACCAGGTACATTGAAAAAGACTATTGAAAGCAGGTTAGAAAAATTGCTCCAAAAACAGCCTGATGATAAGGAGAAATAATTAAGTAAGAGGCACCAGGCCCCAACAGGCATACCAACCAACCAGTGTTTCAATAACAAAACACTACCACAACTTTTTGATTACTACCTACCCTCTAACTTGGTTCTGTGCTCTGCGAGTGGGAGTGATGGATCATGTATAACGAACACTTTGACCACCGCCAATCCTTCCTTTGTATTGGTTCTAGCTACCTTGAAAAATCTGGTGCTTCCAAGGCTGAAAGAAGAAAAAGCATTTTATATAAATACATCGAATCAGGCCAAAAAATGCATCTGTTTTCAGCTCTCAAAAAATTAAGTAGGAAGGTAAACATAATTTGTTTCATCTTAAGATCGCGAAACATATTTTCAAATTATTTTCTAAAGATAGCATACCATATATTCATCAGTATTTGTTCTGAATTATCCAAAAAATACTTGGTTGTGCATACAGATCATTATTAAACACTAAGATAGGTTATTAAGTATCCAGGTAAAGCAGTAAGAAAAGGCTTATTATAACAAATACTTATCAACCTGTTAACACTTAAATAAATAAAACAACTTATTATTGTTATTAAGGTGATCATGTTTAAATTGAATGCGTAAAGTGAAAGTTTAACGAAATATTTCCACTGCAGCTGATGTATTCAAACAGTAAAAGGAATTTGAGTTAATTGCAAGCATAACATACTTTAAATTTAATCATGTCTGAACACGATAGCTCATCTTTTGTTTTACACTCTTGAAGCAATTCATTTCCAAGGGAAACCTATAGCTACATGTACAGGGAACGTTAACCTACATACAAAATTGGTTAAAGCTGTGTAAAAAAATATTGAGAAATAGTGATAATAAAGGCAGCTTACAAATCAAATGCCATTTGAACAGTCTAGTGATGTTAAGCTAAAATTGCATTTCCTGAATTATCCTGTTCAGACAAAATCGTTTGAAACATATGTATGTAGTTTGTTTGATCACTGCTATGTAAAAACCAACTTCTTACCCAGTCGGTTTCATTAAGTACTCACTGGAAAAAAATACTACAAAAACTATTTCTACAGAACTGAAATTACACCTTGTTTCAAACTCATATTCTGCTATATCATTGAGGTACTGTTCCACTGGTTGGATCTGAGATGGTGCTATCCCTGTCAGCTGGTTACCCATCACTGTTTTGTATCACTGATCAGCTGCAATATATCCAGACACTCATCACTGTCATTTTCTGAAAGGAGACAAATAATGTTGTTTTACAATCAATTAGTCCAATAGTATACCCATCAATTAATACATGGGTCAAAGAAGTAATATAGACGGTAAAATCCCATATAACACTGGATCCTAATGGAGGTATGTCCGTAGGATACGAATTACTTAAAATATTATATGGGGCAAAGAAGTAATTCCAACAGTGTGGACAAGTTTAGGTTG